TGCTCTGATTGGCCAGCCATCCAGTGCGTTGTGATTGGCCGAATACCTTACATTCCTCCCTAAAATGCGCTGGACACATCTGAATATTTGGGTTAAACTGTTCTGGAACAGTGTTGTAAATACAACTTAACCACTGATTTCTAGTCGTGTACTCTTTTGGAAGGCCAAAAATGTAGTTTCGCTTTCACAACGAAACAGGTCACACACCGCGGCCTTGAGTGAGCGGAGGCCGGAGGCTTGAGAACGGCGCGGCCGGTGGGCTTGCGGCAACCACATGTGACGACCCCGGGCTGGACTCCGCTTCATCCACGGTGAAAGCCGATCCGGCGATCCACAGCGCGAAGTTGATGTATTTCCTCAGCGACCAGCACGGATCAGCTCCAGGCATGACGAAGCGGATATCGTCCTCTTTTGGAAGGCCAACCAAAATAGTTTCGCTTTCACAACGAAACACAGCACCTTCACGACATGGCGGCGGCGGCAACAACAATACTACAGCGAGAATAAAAGTTACGCCTTCTTTCTTTGCGTGAACATTTGGGCGGCGTTATGCAAATCTTCCCACATCGTGACGTAGACATGTGGGGGCGTGTTAGAACGAGCCGTTTTAGGTAGGCTTGGACCAGTCTTAACTTTTATAAAGAATATCTCTTTGGATTTCAGACTTTAGTCTTTGCAACTTTACAGATCTTCTTTATGCACCAAGAGCTTGTAACACTTCAAAGAGAAAGGAAAAATTTTAAATCGCATCATATGACCCCTTTAACAGACAAAAAGAAACCAATACATTCTAAGTAGTAAAAGTGTAGTCCAAATTACCTCAGGAAATGGGAGCCCAAAAATAACAAACAAACAATGTGTTAACTAACTTAAAAATAAACTAACTTACCTAATAAAAGAAAAAGCCCCAAAAGAAATACAATCCACTACCCTTTCTCCCGGTGTATCCACCAAAACAGGAGAAAAAGGTAAAAAAAAAAATGACCCACTCCTTACAAATACCCTTCACAAGTATATTCACTATATTGTTTGTCTGACTGTCGCACAAGTTGCACAGCAACTGGGTCTGGGAATGAAGACACAAAGGAAACCATCAAATGAGACTCTCGTTGTTAGTTGCATACCGCTTATATCTTGATGCTAATCAGCAGCCCGGAAATCAGCAGCAGGTGTCCGCGATCTGCACAGACAACAAAAATTAAAAAACAGAGACAGAGACAACAAACAACACCAGAACGCAGAAACACATTTGTACCCAAAAGTGAGCTGAACCTGAGAAGTTGCTCAACACCTGTGTTTTTGAGAAATCAATGGCACTTTACTAACTAATACTTAACTGGCAGGCTAGATTTCTTCTAAAAGTACTTATAATTGATTACTATTACTATTATATTATTATAATCTTTCTACATAGGCCTAGAGAGAAAAATTGTGTGTGTGGACACATAACACATGCAGGTTACATGGATTTCATCTTTTAAATCTTTAGTTGTCTTAAATACAAAAAATACTGCATCATCTTTCCAGGATAATTACCATGTTGTTTCATATAACATTGTACACCACTTTTTATTTAATGTTGTCACCATATTTCATTACTAACCTGATCTCAGCTCTTTCTGATGATGATTCTGGCCTTACATATTTAACACAAAACAACACTGTAAACAGTTTGACAACAAATCTCATATCAACTAAAAGCAGGAAGATTAAAGTTTACAGGAAGTAAATGCTGATTGATTTGAATCATTTAACGGTCACGCCAAGAGCGCCAAATATGATGTCTAGGTACGAACAAATATTTGTTTTTTTAAATAATTTCTTTCTCCTGTATTCTACTGTATCTGTGTCTCTCCCTATTTGTAAAATGTTTTTTTTCATCCTCAAGAGATGTTTTTTTAACATGCTCTTTTATTCTTTAAGAAGTAAAATACAGTGGCATGTTCCTGAAAATATCTTTTATTTTAACAGTTATATACATATTTCTACTACAGATAGAAAACTCTGATATTAATTCCACATATATTCACTGCATATATGAACATTTTATTTGTGATTAAATTACATGTTCACTCAGAAATGCATATTTTTTGTCAGCTCTAAGCATAAAACTGGACAAATTATTCTATTAAATTTATCTGTTATTTTTGTATACAAAATATTAATGTTATAATACAAAAATAATACAAATCATATAAAATAATATGAATATCTTCACACTGGCTTTAGCAGACAGATCTACTGTAGATCGATGTTTAATTAAGATGCTACAAATCCTGGTCATTGCCTTTTGGTTTTGTAAATGCATAATCACATATAAACAACATAAAAATATAAATGTACTTCTGAAAATATGTACAGGACAGATTCATTGAATACTTGATTCCAAGTTTAATTGACAAACAAAGAAATTTACAGCTGAATGTTTGTTCATCTGAATGATTTTCATTCGTGACCCTGGACCTGGACGCTGGTCTTAAGCGTCAATTTTTTTTAATAAATAAGCTTTCCATTGATGTATGGTTCGTTAGGATAAGACAATATTTAGCTGAGATACAACTATTTGAAAATCTGGAATCTGAGGGTGCAAAAAAAATCAAAATATTCAGAAAATCGCCTTTAAAGTTGTCCAAATAAAGTCCTTAGCAATGCATATTACTACTCAAAAGTGAAGGAAGTTTTGATATATTTACGGTAGGAAATGTACAAAATATCTTCATGGAACATGATCCTTACTTAATATCCTAATGATTTTTGGCATAAAAGAAAAATTTATCATTTTGACCCATACAATGTATTGTTGACTATTGCTACAAATATACCCGTGCTATTTAAGACTGCTTTTGTGCTCCAGGGTCACATTTATAAAGAAAGACTTCAGATGGCTCTCCGTTTGTGCACTGTCTGTATAGCAGGTCTCTTTCAGGTCCTGGATTCTTATTTCCAAAACTTATTTTATTTGGGCTTAAAAATAAAAATTGTATTAAAAACTAAACTGTCTTTTAAATATCATAACTGTCCATATCAGAGTGGCAAAGAGGAATTATTCTGAAAATCTAAGGATCCAGTTCTCTTCCAATGACACAGCTTCAGTGTGGAAAGGTCTGAAAGACATCACCAACTACAAGACACCATCCTCCAGCACTGTGGAGAATCAACAACTGGCAGACAATCTGAATTAGTTTTATTGCAGGTTTGAAAAAACACCATTAACACCTCCAGCAACCACCCTCTCCCCCACTCCTGCACTTCAGATCAGTGAAGATGATATGTGTCAGGTCTTCAGAAAGAACAAGAGAAGAAAAGCACCAGGCCCAGACGGTGTCACACTAGCCTGTCTGAAAACCTGTGCTGACCTGTTGGCCCCCATCTTCTCAACGATCTTCAACAGATCACTGGAGCTGTGCGAAGTCCCTTCCTGCTTCAAATGCTCCACCATCATCCCCGTCCCTAAGAAACCCAAAATTACAGGACTTAATGACTACAGACCTGTGGCTCTAACGTCTGTGGCCATGAAGGCATTTGAAAAACTGGTGCTGGCCCACCTGAAGGACATTACTGGACCCTTGCTGGATCCTCTTCAGTTTGCCTACAGAGCAAACAGGTCTGTGGACGATGCAGTCAACATGGGACTGCATTATGTTCTGCAACATCTAGACATACCAGGGACTTATGTGAGGATCCTGTTTGTGGACTTCAGCTTGGCTTTTAACACTATCATCCCAAACCTCCTCCTGCCCAAACTAACTCAGCTCTCCGTGCCCACCTCCGTCTGTCAGTGGATCACCAGCTTCCTGACAGACAGGCAGCAGCTAGTAAAACTGGGGAAATTCTCATCCAGCAGCTGTACGATCAGCATTGGCACCCCCCAGGGTTGTGTCCTCTCCCCATTGCACTTCTCCCTGTACACCAATGACTGCACCTCTAAAGACCCCTCTGTCAAGCGCCTGATGTATGCAGATGACACCACAGTCATCGGCCTCATTCAGGACGGTGGCGAGTCTGCTTACAGACAGGAGGTTGAGCAGCTGGCTGTCTGGTGCAGTCACAACAACCTGGAGCTGAACACGCCCAAAACTGTGGAAATGATCGTGGACTTCAGGAGGAACCCCCCTGCACTCCCCTCACTCACCATCATGAACAGCATGGCAATAAATCTCATTCTGATTCTGATTCTTATGTGTAATTTCTGATGTTCATACTTTGATTTCTTCCTCTGTCTCAGTGAAGCTGTACGGTGTCCTGGTGTCTAAAAGATGAAGGTCTCTGACGCTCCTCTTCAGGTCTTCCTCCTCCAAATTGACGTGCTAGCATGCTAGCAGCCTGCTGGAACCTCCTGGGCTCGATAGTGACGTGTGGTCCAATCGGACGCCTGACTGAAGCATCTATTGTCTGACATTTATGATCCGTCTCAAACACAGAGCTCTGCTGCTCTTCTTCCTCAATCTCCTGATCTTGATGGCTCTTAATGAGGCAGCAGGAGCTGTCAATCATTCCCAGAACCTCGCTCATGAGGGAAGGGCCAAGGTCCACCGTGAAGGATGAGAGTGAATCAGATCGCATCATCGAGACCTCGCTGTTCTCCGGTAAGGAACTCCGTCGACTGTCTCCACTGAGCAATTCAGACGTTTCTGCAAAGCTTTGGTCGAGTCGGGATAAATGAGGCAGTGTAACGAAATCAGAATGAAGACCTGCAGGAGAAGAGAGGAAAAATAATATGTTTCTGAAGTCACTATGGATAATAGTGCCTGCCAAATGCATAAATGTAAATGAAATATAATGTCTGCATGTTTGTTTTGTGTCTGTTTTAATAACAGGGAGCTACATGAGCAAAACCTGATAAACAACTGGCCATCAAAGTCACATAATCTATGACACTTTTTCACATTTATCTGCTGTACTTACAGTACATTTAGATTAACTGGTCACTGTCCAGTAGGTGTCAGGATGAGACCTATGTGCAGTGTGTGTGTGTGTTATATTTAGTTATCTTTATGTCGGTCTTTCAGAGCTGGTTTGGGGTTTCTCAGAATAAGGGAAATTCCAGAATTCCAGAGACATTAAACACACACACCACTGAAAACATCACAGCACTTTTCTTCTGTGCCTCCCTCATTTTCTGCAGGTGTGTGTGTGTTTGTGCAGGTGTTTGTACCGACTGTATAAAAACATGGACGTAGTGTCTGTGACGTCACCCGTAGGTTTCCGAAGAGCGTTTTTGAAGCCTAAAGTAGGCAGAACCGGCTGTCGCCATCTTGGCAGCGCGTCACCGCGCGTCATTCCTGGATAATCGAAAATGGGCAAAGAGGCGGGAGCTGGTTG